ATTTTTGGATAAATCAGATTTGAACTATGCAGCAATTTGTTATACGCTCAGGAAAACTGAATGTTAAGTTTGTGTTTGTTATGGATGTTTTCTGCGTCCAGTGTGCTGGATGGAATAAAATGGTTGAAAGACATGCATACAAATATGTACCATTAGTAGTGGCTTGTGGAAAATCTGTGTTGTGAAGGCCAATGTATTTATGCTTGGATTGTAGCAGTTTGGAGTTAAAAGTCTGGTTTTGGGGCAGGACTAGCTGGTAGTCAGAATACTTGACGAAATCTTTTGATTATATATATGAGCTCACTATAAGCAAACTGACGGTGCTTGGGTTCATTTAAATGCCCTTGTGGTTAAAGTACCTACATCGTCCTTCAAAAATACCATAAAGGAAGATTACAAAACGGATTATTTTGGTCCGGTATGTACAAATAATGACTTCTTTTCAAAACCTGCGGCCGCAAAGATGCATTAGTATAAACTCTGTGGTGAACGGTCAGACAGCAGTGTGTCGAACTCAGTTCATAACAGTTTACAACTAGTGTCTTAGACATTAACCTTTTCATTGCTTAGTACAGCATTAGAGCCACCTGTAAACAAACTTTTTATTCAGATGAACTTTTAAAATGTTGCTCGTTAAGAGACCCACCCAATAAATGTAATTAAGAATTTGTGTGTTATTTTTAATTCTGGTAAATTCTGGTAGCGTTAGGGGAAAAGTGGCCAGTTTTAGCTTCGATAGCAATTTCTGCATTGCATGGGCAGTTCAAGCAGGTCACAGTGGTAGAAATTTCTACATTATCAAGATTACCAGGAGAAAAATAACCCCTTGTCTTCTACAAGGGGAGTAGAAATGGCTGGCTTGTATTAGACTACCCCTCTTTTTTCTGTTCTTCAGGAAAGCTAAGCTTGGAGAGAAAAGTCTTCAGTGCTGGTGAGCAGCCTGCAAAACAAGCAATCACATCCATTGATACAGCTTCAGAAAGTTATTTCAGTTTTCTCTGAAGAGAAGACGATTTGAAGTTTCCAGATGGAGTGAGGAATCCTTTACAGCACTGTGATACAAGTACCCTGAAGAATGTCTGATTTTATTCACTTGGGATCCTTGAACTGTCTTGTATAGATAGCATCATTAAGTAGTAATACAGAAACAAATACATGTGGCTTTCCTATAAATTACACAACTATCATGGCAGATCATTGATGTTTAATTATTGCAATCTCTCAGGAACAAGGCTTTTATTATCTGGAAGCTTGTTCCTAGTCATAAGATAGGACCGTGAAGGTGATTAAGGAACTGAAGCATCTTACATATTAGGAGAGGCTGAGAGAGCTGGTACTGTTCAGCCTGGAGAAGAGCTTACGGACAATCTTATCAATGTTTAGAAACATTTGATGGGATGGAATGTAGAAGGAGCCAGACTGTTCTCAGTAGTGCCTGCTGACAGGATGAGAGCACAGATTAAAAAAACATGAAATTCTGTTTGAATGCAAGAGGAGATGCTGTAGAACACTGGTCACACACTGACATGGGTTGCCCAGAGTGGATACAAAAAAAACAGACTGGTGTCCTGTGCAATCTGCTGTGGGGGATTCTGCCTGAGCTGGGGGATTGGACTAGATGGTCTTGAGAGGTCTTGTCCAGCCTCAATGATTATGTGATTTTGTGAATAGGCCAAAAGTTGTGTGGTGCCATATTTTTTCAAAAGAACTCTTTAAATAAACTAGATCTTGGGCCTCAAGTACTTTTGGACCAAAATAATTCTTGTTACATTCCAAAGGGAAGCATTGTCCAAAGGGAAGAATCTGGTTTTGGCACTTTCTTCAAACCTGTGTGTTTCTCCGTGTCTTTGATTTTTTTTCTGCATTTAATACAGGTAGTGCTATGTATTAGTCAGGTTCCCTGTTAGATTGCAGTATAATATATATATATATATATATATATATAGTTCCTTATGTATCTTTATTCTTTTTATTTTACTTTTTTCCTTCAATTTTGGCATAGTAAAAAATAAAAATGAAGCAATTCATCTTTTTCTTGAAACTAGGGGGAAAAGAGTAATTTGTCCTTGTCTTTAGTACTTCAAGCAGGTTGTCAGGAAAATTGGCTAAGCTTGCATGCATGTATGTTTTCCATAGCTTGCATCTGGTACTTAAAACTACTTTCCCTGTCATTGCACACCTGTTGTGGGCTTTGCTGTGTTCAGTGGCTTTAAATGAGTCATAAAACTCTCTTCTGTATTGTCAGCAATGCTTTTGCTGGCCCAAATATCTGGAGCTGCCTGCCTGAATTAAGGAACAAGAATCAGATATGTGAGGATTGCAGGAATGTAAACTGGGACAAGGATCACTTAGGCTTAACTGATCCTGGGAATGCGATGACAAATATTTGAAGGAAAGGAATTCTTCCTGCTATGAGTGATGGAGAAGAAAAAGACACTATGCTGCTGCTCTGGTCTTTGCACAGAATGTCCAAAATCAGAAACTGTACTCCCAATGGAAAGAGATGGTGCTTGGTGATACGAGATTAAATGAGTTTGAGGCATCTGGATAGGATCGCCTGAGAAAGGGCACGTGCATGTGTTGAGGAGTGAGAAAGTGGTGGCTTAGTGCTCTCCAGTAGTTTCAGATCTCTCTGATGGTTGTCAGTTGAGAAAAGTGGTACCATCATGGGGCTCAGTAGATCACTCTTTTTCTTACCACTATAGCATCAGCCTTTGTGGTGCTAGTGCAAGAAAGCCTGAAGCACTTCATCCTCTCCACATGTCCAGGGCATGTGAGACAGACTTTTGAGACTTCAATTCTGCACCTCAGTGGTGGAGTCCACCTGAGAAAGTGAGAAAGATAATCACCAGACAGGTTATCTGTTCTCCTGAGGAAAAAAAACTTCAATGTTTAGAGTGTGTTGGCTTTTTTGGCCCAGTCTGTTTTGAACCCATTAGTCCAGTTAAACCAGATTTGGCAGGGGAGCAATCTCCTCAACACCACAGAGATGTGATTTTTATGAAAATCTGTGGCAGGTTTTGGAATGAGAGTCCCACACTTGTGTCCCACTGAAGGAAGAGCTGCACTCTGCTCTCAGTAGGCAAGCTTGCAGGCTAGTCTGCATGCACATGATGGTTGAGTAGGGTCCATGTGGCAGTCACAGCAACTAGTACTTCTTGCCTAGGTATCACGGGAGGGTGCTGTATGTGTTCGGAAAAGGGTACAAAATGTAGGGAAGTTGTACACACTGAAAGAAAAGGGCTTTTTCATTTCAGCTCTCAGAGGAACGTCTTGTGAAAACTGTTTGCTATTTGCCAACAGAAGCATGAGGCAGACTGCTAGGGGATTTCTCATAATCAGAATACGAATGCCTTTCCCTACTCTGTCCCAGTAAGAGCTCTTCCTGCTGCCTCAGCTTGCGCTGTGGCAGTAGAAGAGTTTTACATTGTGCGGTTTCTATGTAATTTCTTCCCTTTAGGATGTTACAGGTCTAGAAGGATTACTTTGATATCAGTCTTGAGCTTAAGCACCTGCTTTTTCTTTCCAGTCACAGACCGAAGAGCTAGCCAGAGAAACCTTCAGCTTTCATCAGTGCTCTCAAAATTCACAAGATAGCATCCTGACATATTTCAGTATTCAAGAAAGCATTTCCTCTTGTATGGGGTAGCTATATACTTCTCACTGATTGAAAAGGTTACTGCATTTCTTCTACTCTTTTAACGTGCGCATCTTCCAATGCAGACAGGGAAACTTTATATCCCAGGGATTTATAGATCAGTGTTTCAATAAAGAAAACTACGATGAAATGTACCTCAGAGGAACTTTTCTGAACCTCTTGTAGAATATGCTGGTAGTACGGGCTCAGCACAGGGACGTGCTTACTTCAGTCCTTGTTCAGATGAGTGTCACAGCCTGTATTTGTGATACCCTGTTGCACATCGGGGTGTGTGTAACATATATCTCTCAGGAAGGTGTGCAAGGGGAAGCTGCACTGGCTCTTTTGCTGGCGATCAGCACAGAACAACCCAACCGCTGATTCCCTGGCCAGCTTGCCGGGACATTTTTATAATTCTTGCGCCGTGTTGTTGGAGATCTCCAATTAGCCTCCAACCGGAGCTCGCAGCTTGTGTGCGAAACAGGCAGCTGCTGGCACGCAACCTTCCCTGAAGTTGTTTCCTTTCCTTTTTCCTGAGATTTAGCGAAGGGGGGGAAGGGGTTGGAGTCACATGGATACAAAGCTTTTGATTAATGTCCAAGTCTGTGCTGCGGCGGCGGCTTTCCAACCTCCCAGCTCACAGGGCGAGCTGGGAACCAGTGACCGCTCGCTTCCTCAGGGCCGCGTCCCCTTCCTGACGGGAAAGCGGAGCCCGCTGGAGGGAGGGGGGGGGCCGCTCGCCTCCGGACCTCGGCTGGAGCCGGGTGAGCCGGGGCAGAGGCTGCTCGGCGGCAGGGCACCCGTGCGGCTCCGGGCCCGCTATGTAACCCAGCGGGCTCTTTTGTTGTCCTTGTCCGCAGCGCCGGGCCGCTCACGCCTCAGCGGGGCCGCGGGCAGCGCTCCGCCGCGCCGCGCACCATGACGGAGGAGAGCAGAGGGGAAGGCAAGGGGGAGAGCGGCAAGGACTTGGAGAAGCAGCTTCGCCTCCGCGTCTGCGTCCTCAACGAGCTGCTCAAGACCGAGCGGGACTATGTGGGCACGCTGGAGTTCCTGGTGTCGGTGAGCGGCATCCCAGCGAGCCGGGCTGCGGGGCTGGGGAAGGGGCGCCCTGCCCGGGGAGCCCGCTCCAGGGGGTCGCGCTGCAGCGAGGGGCACCCCGCGGGGCTGGGCAGGAGGGGCAGCGGCCCCTCGGGGTGCTGGGGAGGGGGGCAGACCCTGAAGGGCGGCGGGGCGAGGGGGAGGAGCGCTGAGGGGGGCTGGTGTGGGTCATCTGGGGGGGCTGCGGCCACCTGGGGAGGTTGGGGCCACCTGGGAGGCTGGGCTCTGCTGTGGGTGCTGGGGCTGACTGGGGAAGCTGACCCTGGCCAGAGCTGTGCTGCAGCGGGCGAGCCTCCTTCCACACCTGACTGGCACTGTGGGTGGGATTACCCGTGCCAGGTAACACCCTAATCCCTGATAAAAAAGGCAGGAGGGTGCTCTCTTTGGTAAAGCCAGAGGAACGGCTCTTATTAAGCACAGCTGTGCCGTGCTTCGTTTGCACGAGGTGTCGGTAGCATCGCTCTAGGACCCCGATGAGATAAGCGCGTCCAGCTCGTCCGCTTGATTTTGCTGAGGATCTTTCACAGGAGCCCCCACGTATTTTTCTCTCCTCCCCTGTGCCATTGAAGAGGGGAAATCCTTCAAACTGCAAACTTCCTGCTTTGCTGCTTTGAGATCTGTGAACTTTCTGCTTATTATCATGAAAGAGGAAATTCTCAACTTGGCTGTGACAGGGAGAATAAAAGCACAGACACAGGAGTGAAATAAGATCTACAGAGTAGCTTATTTTCTCCATATGTTTATCCTCAGCAGAACCTTGAAAAATGGTAAATGGTCCAATGTGTTTTCAGTTTCTAAAAAATATTTGATGTATACTTGAGAAGGTGGCTGCGTGAGTGCCTTTTACTTTGTTTCCATTTAACAATCAAATTTTACTTACTGTAAAGAAAAAAAAAAAGGGAATACGCTTCAATATTTCATCTTGAGTCTCAAATTTGGTGTATTTCAGATTCTTAGGTCTCTTTAGGAAGTTTAAAGAATTTGTAGTGTCTTTAGTTTTGGGCCCCACAGTTTCAGACATAACTGGTACTGATGTTCAAGCAGTTAGTGCTCCTTCTGAAGAGCAGACTGTACAGACTTCAAGTTGCATACAAGTAATGAATTCAGTAATTAGTCTTGCAGAAATAGGATTGAGATGATCTAAATAAATCACGTGGAGAAAGGGAGGAGCACTGGAGTTAAATGCCTGGTTCTAGGTCAAATTTTACATATTCATTAATGTCTGTGAACAATGTGCAAGTGATAGCTCAGAGATCTAAACCCTTCACAGGGAAATGTCATGCTTTTTAACTGTGCCTTGTCCTTGGTTTGAGGAGACAACTTGGGAGCTTTCCCTTGGCCTGTCTGCTAGGACTGCTGTTGGGAGTGGCTGTGGTGGTGGATTTTATGAGGGGGATGGCTCTGGACTAGTGCCAGTATGGAGACCAATCACATTTATTGCATATCAGCATTGCGCTTGTTCCTGTGGCTACTTCTTGATCTGGAGGCCGCATCTTCTCAGCATGAGGTTGTCTTAGGGCACAAAGTCTGAGTTTGTTTTGGATGAAAGTGAACTGCAAATTTTTCTCTTGGAGCACGTCTGGATGGGGCAACAGTGTGGGGTCCCAGCACTGACTTTCTCTGTCCAAACCCTATCCTATTTTGCAAGATTCCTTGTTAAATTAGAGGCTGCCTAAGATGCTGAAATTACAATGACAGTTAAGAGTTTGGCTTCCAGGTCTCATTGACACTGTCAGTGGAGCTCATTTTGGTAGAAACTGGGTTTCATTTATGAATGGAAAGCTGGAGCCATTTGTAGTCTTTTTTAACAGTTTACATGGAGTACATGCAGTTTTCACTGAAGTTTATAGGAACAGGGTATTAACTTAGATAAATGAAAGAAACTGTGGTTTCAGTATTAGAGTTTGTCTTCTGTGGAGTTACAGAATGCCATGTTTTATGATGTATGGTTCCTTTGGAAAGGTACATTAGCATTTGTGTGGACAAGAGCTAACTTTTCACCAGTTTGGACTGAACCTTTCATCTTGTGCTCATGCCCCACTGTAGAAGCAGTTAATATTAAGAGACAAAAATTCAGGTTTCTTCCATCAGTCATTCTTGTGTAGGACAGGGACAGTACCTAAGTGGGATTTGTGTGGAAGTATAATGTTCATATCATACTTAACTCTCTTTCTTGAGTACTTTGTGTGTCTTGTGGAGTGAATTGATAGCATCCCCTAGCCATTTGGCTGAGGCAAAACTAAGTTATCGCAATGGGCGGTATGTAACATAAACAGGTGAGGAAGTGAAGCATAAGCCTGATTTAACTGAGTGGTGGGAGGAGGAGACCCCCATTGCTGATGTGATCATGTTGGGGAAATGGTGTTTTACCTGCTACAGCCTATGGCTGGCTGGAGAATGAGATTATAAGGAGGATGTGACTTTGCCAGTGTGTATCTGCGTGGGAAATGCTTTGCTGGTTTCCCTGCATGGGAGCCATGCCTATTATGTGTTAGAATTATTTAGGTTCTTCACTTTATGTTGAAATTAAAGAGCATCTCACCAAGGACAAATTTCTCACTGGTAATTTAAAGTGTTTTTGTTCTCCTGCTCCTCTGTGACTCCTCTTTCTTCAATTATCATCTATGCGGTGAGAAGTAGCTTGGTTTGTGTATTCTGTCAGAGCTCTACAAGGCTATTAAATGCAAAGCAGATTTAACAGGTTCATTATTTGATTAAATAGATGTACCTGAGTAGTTGTTCCCATATGAGTTCATTCACCTATTCTTCTTGCCTTTGCACTGTGTAAAGACAATGTATTGTTTTTAATCTGGTATCATCACAGATCATATCTGCATGGAAAGGTCTGGTTGTGTTAATATTACTCTTTCAGATCTCCTGAATATTCCAGTAATAAACTATGGTAGCACAGTATGTTGAGACATAATAATACAGAGCAACAACAACTTCGTGCCAATCTCAGTGAGGTATGTAAACGTACATGAGGTGGATAAACATAAGTCCACCGGTAGTCACAGCAATGTCAGAGGGAGTAGGCACAGGAAATTATGAAGAAAGGCTTGAATTTTTCCTTCTAACATTTCATTACAACACTTGGAGCTTCATTTCAATACAGAGTTTTTGTTCTTGTTGGCATTTAGTGTTTCTTAAAATAATTCAATCTACTGATAGAAGAACTTGCCTAAGGAACTAAAATATTTCCAAAAATCATATCTACAGATAGAGTTCACTGTGAGCTACAACATGAGGTTACTTTTACAAAGTTGGTTCTTTACTGGCTAAATCAGCTGTTGGGATTTTTCTGCTGCTGGGCCGTACTTCTCGGGTGATCATGTTATTTTACAAGAAAGCAAGCTGTGTTTTCCAGTGGAATAGAAGCTGTACTTGCAGGAATAAGAGGAGAATCTTTTTTTCACCAAAATGTTCTTCATGGAAGGAAGTGAAGGCAACAGTTGGTGAAAACTTGCTCTCTCTCTCTAAAATAATTACATGTTATCCAACTGTGTAACTGAGTAATTAATATTATGTTGAGTATTCATGGTAAAGATTCTATTTATTTTTTTTCCTTTTGTGATTTATCAGTATATACCTTATTTATTTCATTCTTTCCAGGAAATGAAAAAGTGTATATATTTGATGTGCTCTGTGTAAGCATAGTGAAAACTTCCTGTTTTGCTCTAGAAGTAACATGATTAGCTAGTTAGGATAAAACTAAGTAAACTTTTCTAAGATTCTCATTGGTCCTGCATTTTATGCTGAGGAATACACTTGACTTTTTAATGGATGTTTAATTTTTCTTTTTTAATTAGCTTAATGTGTTCTTGCAAGGTTTCATTTGCTTTAAAAATCAGGGTACTCATCTGAACTCTCAATGTACTAGTAGTAAAGAGACTGGTAAAACTGGGAGTAATTAATAGTAAAGAGTTTCAGGATAGTGGTTGGCTTAACTTGTCACTTTCTGACTTGGTTTAAAGCTTAGTTATGTTTTTGCTTCATGCTGATGTTTAGCCAGAAAAGGCAAATGAAGCCACGAAGTGCTTTAGGAGGCAGGTATGCTGCAGTGATACAGGATAGATACAATAGTAGGTAAAAAAATAAATATATATATACACATATATACTTAAGGAAAGAAATTTTATTTTAGGATAGAAATTGGACGTGTAATAGATCTGCTGCATTTGGTACTTCAGGGGATAGCTGTGGAAGTAGAGTTTATTTTTATTTGACAGAGATTGTTTTTCTGCTGCAGTTCTGTGCTCTGACAAATTTGACGTTGATGGGAATAGAAGCAGATGTTAGCACTTGCCTGAGCCTTCCAAAACCCCATGGCCGAAGCCGGGGCGAATTGTTAGATCCTGAGGCAGCTGGAAGAAAAAGACAGCCAGTTTATTATGTAGAATATAGTATGGTTTATAGAGTCTCTTCTGTGAATAAACATACATTTCTGCCTGTTAACTCTCAAATCCAAGTTCAGTTCCATTACATTCTACTGTACTATCTTCTCTTCTCCCTTCTGCTTTACTAAAGTTTAAAAAAAAAAAAAAAAAAGAAAAAAGGCTCAGTTTGCTGTAAATGTGTGCTCTGTTAAGGCAAGCAGAATCTTTGCTTTTCAATGGGCGTAAAGAAATGTTTATAAGGTTTATTGCCCAACCTTCCCAGTGGCTGTGTGACTCCTCGTGTCCTGTATTTCCCTGCCACCCTGTGTCCTTCCTTTCTTTTGGCTCATTGTGGTGGTTGTGCAGACTAATTAGTTGGACAAGTGATTAACTGAGACTCCAGGTGAACTTTAGTCATATCCAGTGTTACCACTTCAGATCAGCAATAGATGATTTGTGTCCTAGATTGAAATTCCTCAAGTGGTTATGCTGGATGATCCAATTAGATGTTGGACCTTCCACAGAAGAACTGTTTCTAAATGAACTTTTATGGCTGTAGTCTGATACAACAATGTATGTGTGTCATTGTGTATGAATATATGTTATATAGGTTATTTATGTTATATATATCTCAATTACAGTAATGATTAGTGACTTATTAATGGTTTGCATAATTACATTTGTAAAAGGGATTTAAATGAATGGAAGGGAAGGGTTTCAGCTGGCTGCATTTTTTGATAAGCTTCTGTGATTTCCTTTCTCTTCAGGAAAAGAAAAGCAACATTCTATGGCAACTGCATCATAAAAAGTCAAAAGGAAGTGCAAACACAATTACCATAGAAAGCCAATATCTTTTCCATTCACTTCCAATTTCTGCTGTTTTTAACTTGCTTAAGCATTACAAGAAAAAAAAAAAGACTATGGTATTCTATTCTTTTTTGGCTTGGTTGGCTATATCAATGGCACCACCTGTGGTCTTTATCAGAGTAAGGGTAACTACTTAAAAGCTGTTTATTTCTTTGTAAACCCCATCCCCAACATCAAACGCTTGCTTTGTAGAGTGAGAAAAAGAGCAAGAAAAGATTATTTATGTCTCTACTAGCAGAGCATAGAACCTTGCGTAGGCAAAATGGCAAAAGCCAGACATTTAAGACATTTAATCTTAAGAAAGATTTTTAAGCATGTGTTTTATCTTGTTTGGAAGTGTAGGGAATTATACAGCACTATTGATGAATATTTCATACTTTTCAATGAATATCCCCTTACTGCTCTCAGACGTACTTGGACTGTATTTTGAAAAGCTGCTTTTTAAGGAAAAGTATATATGTATTTATTCGTTTTTAATCTGTTCAGTGCAAAATGTAAATACAGAAAAGAGAAATCTTTGTTTC